TTAATATAAAAACATTTTAAAACTAAATCTAATGTTCTAAAGAATCAAAATAATTTTTCATAATTTTAAGATTTTTTTATTCATTCATTAAATTGCATTTATTTTTTGCTCTTGCATATAAGTTGCAGTGTGTATTAAAAATGATAACATTAACTCTTTTTTAAATAAAATTTAAATATGTTTAATATATAAGGGCTCCTTTTTGCATTTACGCATAATGAATGTTTGATATTTGGTATTTTCTTTGTGTAGTTCTAGCATTTAAGTACGTGTTTATTAAAAATAATCTCTCAATATGAAAATATTAATGTGAAAAACGTTGAAGACTTTGTGATGAAGATCAAAGGAATCCAACTGGCTTTAGAAATCGTAGTCGCCGTCGTCACAGAGGTACCAGTTAAAAAAGCTTCGGAAGAACTCCATCGAAGGTTCATTGTCAAAGACAATGATGAGAATTTATTAGACATATCAAAATTGTCCACCAGATGGATTTTCTCCTTTAAGAATCAATTTTATGAATAATCTGAAGGAACACTTCGAGATGAAAGCCTTGGAATCAGCAACTTTAAAACCAAAGTGTTGGTTCAGATATATGCACGATACGTTTATTATCTGGCCCCATGGATATAACAACATAGATAGATGGAACAAAATAATGTTCTCCCCTTCCTAGATGTCTGTCAAGGGAAAATCTGAACGCTGAATCAACAAACCTTGAAACAATGTATTGTTAATATTTTTTTGTATATGGTATACTTTGGAGCCGGAGCATTTAGACAAGGAACTATAGCACTTCATTTTTTAGAGGAAATTGATACACGAAGAGGAATATCGAACACGCCATCAGAAAGGCACTTAAGGACAAGGAAACGAGGAATATCTGGCGACCACGTGTCTGTCCTTTATACAAGCATCTTAAGCCAACACGATATTTTGCTTGGCTTTTGGCCAAGACTCTACAGGGAGTCAAAAAAAAATCCAGAAGAATCTACTGAATTTAAATTGAGACGAAGAGTTAAGTACCTGGAATTTGAAAACGACTTATCTGAAATTCGTGTTCCGGGACACCATGGATCAGTGCCCACAGAAAATAAAAATACCAGCCAGATGATTTAATCTTCACTTTCCGAGTTTCTTTTGAAGAAGCCATATGTTTTCCGAAACATCAAGAAGCTTAAAGCAACGATGTGGCAACCAACTTTGTAATTATTCAGTCATTATCCTCTAACAATAAGATGAGTGTAGTGCAGTGAGTCACCTCAGCATATTTGAAATGGAGCACATTTTAAACCGCATATACAGGTTGTTATCACTAAGAGGGCCCAGTAGGATTATCTCAAAAAGTAATCAGAATTGAAATCTGAAAATTTGTATACAGGGGTTTATTAAAAAAATTTATTCAATGAAAATAGTGTGAACTTCCTCGCACTTCCGGTTATACCGGATATCATCATCAACTCTGTTATTTCAAATGGAACACTCTGTATATTTATGTATTTTTAATTTTGCGACAAATTCTAGACTAATTTCATATAAGGTACTATAGGCTAAAATATGACAGTTTTCAAGTTATTATCAATTTTCGAAAAAAATTTAGGGATACAAGTGATTTTTCAAAACGAATAACCGACATTTAGCTTTATGTATTAATGAAATTTGTCATGGATAATTTAAAAGCAATGGATTTTAATCAATTTATGTTAAATTTGCAAACATTCATATAGAGTGTTTAAAAACGAGAAGCCAATATTGTGGCGTTGAAGTTGAATTTACTCAAAAGTTTCAAATGGTACACCCTGTATATTATTACATTAATGTAGAATTAAATTTACTTTAAAATGATCTTGCATCCAAAGTCAACAGTTCTTGTGTACTACATTGAATAAGTATTTCAATAAAAATGTACGATGGATTTGATGCAATAAAGAATTGAACAATAAACGATGTCTGATTAATGAACTGTAATTTTTATACACCCTGTATATAAGTACATATTCAGATTTGAAACGAAACACCCTTGTCGAATTTTAGTGCTTCATATTAGCTCTATGATATTTTTTTTGGTGGTTGAAGCCACCACAATTCGTTCTTGTAACAGTTCTCTACTATTAAAATTAATTTGCACTAACTTTTAGTATTCGACTGGTTTCTCACAGGAGAGTAGCAAGTGAAACTGGAAAGCCATTTTGGAAATAATAGGAAAATACTATTTTCATTATGAGCTTTAATATCCTGTAGCTTTGCAAGGAGGCATTTTGAACAAAAGTTTATTTGACCAATTATTTTGTTTTGGCAAGAAGTTTCGGTTAATTTTTGTACTTCTATTGCAACTCACCCTGTATATAAAAAACAATCGACGCACTAAAATCTGATTACTTACATTTTCATATTGTACATAGGTATTGTTGACGCACAGAGGCACAGCGTCAGCGCCAGCGTATGCAGCTTAGATACCGGGTCTATAGGAGAGCACCGACTAAAATGATTCACAATGATCATCAGCTATGCGTAATCTACTTCAATTGCATTAAGTGATTGCGAACAATTGCAAATTCTTAAATATGGTCATCTTTTCTTGAATATTATACGGACAAAAATGACATTGTACCTACCAGCGGTTCCCAACAAATTTAAAAAATACACAAATTTTAACAACTTCAAGTAGATAATTGAGCAGTGAGCAGTTTAATTGAAGATGGATGATAAGCAAAAAGTTAATTTTGTGTAAATTGTCCTTCTGGAAAATTCATTGATACAGCAATATAATTTTATTATTTTCCAAAAAAGACAAGTGAACAATTTCTAAATTATCTATAAGATAGATACAGTAAGTATATTATGTTCTAAATTTGGGAGTATAATGAAAACTTAATAGAGTCGTTTCCTTTAGTAATATATCATGCAAAATTTTACACGGGCGTAGCTAGGATTTATGCCTGGAGTGGGCCTAGGACCATGCAAGCTAAAAAAAAAACTTACGCAATTAGTAACTTCCAAATATGAAATTTCTTGATTCTCAAAAAAAAGGTCAGAATCAGAAACTTACTGATATAAGAAAGATGATATTTATTACTGCATTTTTTCTGCAGTAGGCACCGGGCTCTCTGGGAGAGGGACAGGGGCGTGCACATCCCTGCCCCCTCTAGCTACGCTCATGAATATAAAGTATAAAATAAAGTCAATTAATAGCAAAATTACTTTTTTTGTGTTTAACTGAAATTACTCGAAACAACAGATGATGATGTGATGCATGAGCAGAGAGAGGATAAATCCTCTGTGACAGAAGAAGAATTAGAGAAAAAATTAGCTACAATTTTCATTGAATAGGCTTTTTCAATTCTGTACTTGTTTTACTCTGCGGTATAGATGATATAGATGATACTGCCAAAAACGGTCAAAAGTGATTCAAGTGTAATTGTAAAACATTTATAAAAATGAAGTGCCAACATAAATATTTCACTGTTGAGGAATTATAAGCCGGAACAATGTATATATAAAATCAACAGTTCCAAGAAAACCGTGAAACAAGGTGTAGGTAAGTGCATAAACATGTGGTCCCAATGTGATCTATTGTGTACCTCTTTCTTTGCATAATATGATCTAAAATAAAAAATTATATGCAATACGTGTTGCATGTTTTAATAAAATCTATAGAGAGAAAAAATTAAAAAAGATGGGGAACGAGACTATACTCTAAGACTAAAAACACAAAAGTAGTGGGCCAATCTTTATCTTTATACCTATCGAATGTAGGTAAACATTTCTACCATATTAAGATACCAATTAATTCTTGAATACTTGAAAGTAGTAAATTGAAATTAATATACAGGGTGTCCCGAAATTTATGCAACAAAATTTGGTCATAGCTTCTTGAGACAAATTTAGGGGACCCGTTTTTTCCTTTTTGCCAACTGGCCCCCTCTTTCGGAGTTAAAGCCACCTGAAATCTGCCCCTAAGAAGTCTTTTTTTATATCTCAAAACAATGTTGTACGAGAATCACTAAATTTGGTACACAGGGGTTTTATGACATGTGGGATCTCACAGTGATACGCTTTTTGGCGAGAAACCCCTTAAGACACTTTTTCGTGGCCCCCCTTGTCTTTGGAACCAGAAAAATTTGGTCGCAAATTTGATTTTTTTTTTAATTATTAGTTAGCTAAAAAGCCATTGAATTTAGAAACTTTTTTGTCTCTCGATATTTATTTCGTAAAACGCAATGTTTTTGAGGAAAATGGCTAATCACGATTTGCATTCGATCACATTTTGACATTTTTCTCGAAAACATTGCGTTTTACGAAAAAAGTATAAAGAGACAAAAAGTTTCTAAATTTAATGGCGTTCTAGTGGACTGATAAGTTTTAAGAAATTTAAATATGCGACCAAATTTTTTTGGCTCCAAAGACAAGGGGGCCCACGAAAAATTGTCTTTAGGGGGTTCCCCGCCAAAAAACATTGCACCATCAAATTCCACATGTTATAAAACCCCTGTGTACCAAATTTAGTGATTCTCGTACAACAGGGTTCTGAGTTATAAAAAAAAAGATTATTCTTAGGGGCGGACTTCAGGGAGCTGTAACTCCGAAAGAGGGGGCCACTTGACAAAAATAAAAAATACGGATCCCTTAAATTTGTCCTAAGAATCTGTGACCAAATTTTGTTGCATGAATTTCAGGCCACCCTGTATAGGTATTCAGATTTGCTATTATTATTAAATAGGTTTGTTTGACTAATAGGTTTTCATTGGTTTAAATAACTAATGAGTATAACTTCGGAACAAATTAGCAAAAAATATTATCGCGTCCACGAGGGGGTACTTGCCCCCTGCTGGCTTTTGTACCCAATGGACACATCAGTGAAATGAGAAAATGATTTTTATTACTTCGTCTTACTGGCAAATTTTCCGCAATCGCCCATGACCCTCTTATTTCTAATCCTTTGAAATACATACTAATAGTGCTCCTTTTGTTTATACAACCATCAATACATCGATGTGTTTCAGATTCATATGGAGAGGAACCACAGCCACAGTATAGTCCCGCCTCTCAAAATGAAGGGGCAGAACCATCGCCCCACTCGAGGGCTGCCACGCCCCTGGAATGCTTAACGTACACCACTCCTGAGACTGACCAAGATAGCTACCCAGCCCTTATTAGAGATGGAAGGTTCATCCATAATTTTATGGAAGAGGTAAGGCTATTTCAGCGGAATTGGAAAATAGTTATATCTAACAATAATAGAGGCATGCCTATCCATCAATAACTAATAATTTTTCGTTAAATCCAACAATGCAGATAACACTAACATGAACAACCCATTAAAGGTTATCAAAAAATGTTATTGTTGAATAACGTGTGAGAGAGATGTTCTGACAAACTTTTAGGGCTAATTCTTTTCGACGAAAAACAACATAACAATTTTTCCTAAAGCGATTCTCAAGGGCTTTATAAAACTTCAAATTGTAAACTCCAATCGCAGTTTTTGATCAATTACCTAGTCAAGACAAATTGGAGAGAGTCCCGCTGAAGGAGTATGATATATAGACAGACAAATTGTCTGAAGTTACTTATTTGTGACATAATTTTAGTTCTTCTTTATTTATAAAGAAAAGAAAGAAAGGAAAAGTGTCGTAGTTTTTTTTTTGTGAAATGCATTGTTCACAGTTAAAAGTCCTCCTCAACCATCTTGACAATGTCAGACGCAATTTTACCATCAGAGTGAAGATAAGAAGTTTTGCCAAACTCGCTTTTATTGAAACGAAATGTAGATAGTCCAATGAATATTCAACCTTTTCATAATTATGTACCCAGCTTCTAATTATTAAGAAATTAGAGCAAAATCTGATGACACTAGTTTGAGGTCTATATTGTTAGGTGCCCTTGTTTTGTTTGTTTGTTTCAAGAAGAGGAAGAGCCCTCAAAGCTTGTCGTAATATACAGAATGAATATCGTTTAGTTCAATCCCGAAGTAGGTTGTTGATGAAATGTCAATGGAATATCTACCTACTTTTTAGTAAATATTTTCCTTCTACTTATAATACTTTGATGTTCCTCATTTACTACTATATCTGCTATTGTTCTAGATACAAGTAATAAATAAAAACAGTCATCGATTCTAACACTATTTTTTCCAGTTTATTTTATATCATAAATAAATGAAGCTTTTTTGTATAAAGAAAACACATGGTTAAATATATTTCCAGAATGACTTTCTTGCAACTAAGTACAAGTAATTCAGAACTCAGTAATTAAGTTGATTTCTTGTAGGTAATCATTTAGGTAATAAGATAAATTTTTTCATAGAGATAGACGTTACTATTATTATAAAATATCTCGGAAGTAACTTTAACCAGTTTGAAATGATTACCTGCATGCAAAAATCTGGTATCATTCCAAAACCATTCAAACATGGATATTGTTCTTATATTTCATTCATATAAGTTAATGGGAATTTCATTATGCACAATATAAGTATGGTAGTTTGTTTCATCTTACTTTCCCATCCTTTCTCTTTTAGTTAAGTTAAAGTTTAAAGTTTAATTATTAAACTAATACCTTTATACTGGCTAATATGTCCTGTTTCATTCGTATCTGTTTCAGGTTCCTTTGGAGGAAGCACCGGGCGCAGAATATCTACAGTTAGGACCAACAGGTATTTCAAATGGATCACCTCAAGGTAGTGGGACACCAAGTCCTGGATCTCCAAATAGAGTGTACAATCTGCATACGATACAAGCAGGGGATAGTCACCACTCTACGATAGAAGGATCGCAACTCACACAACTTACTACTCACATAAGCTATACAGGAGTGGGGTTAAATTCTCCCACAGGTGCCAGTATTACTAGGTAAGTCGTTACTATTATTCATACGTTACTCCTATATCAGATAATCTGATTTTAAAAGTTTATAAACTTTATCTGCTCTTAACACAAATCAAACAGATACGAACATCTTTTACAGCCCTCCTGTCTTCATTCTTCCTGGAATTGGAACAAAATTCATAACTTTTATACTGAGTGATTTAAAAAAAAACGCCCAGACAGGTCGATTTTATTCTCGGGAGAGGCATCTTTTAAGATGATTCAGTAGTACTTATATAGGGTGACCCAGAAATGCTGGACGGCCAATAAATTTGTTTTTTCTTATGGAACACCCTATATATTTCTTCATATTCGGATAAAGCTTTCTCTTACGAATACAGTGATGTAAGGTTTGATGGGTCTGTCTCAAATACCAAGCGAGATATTGTGAGAAAATGACATTTATTTCAAAAAATTATTTAATCTCATTTTTCATAAAAGAAATTGTACTTGGAAACGAAACAAATGCAAATAATTAACGAAATTTAACATAAATTTTCAAATTGTCCTCCACCAACAATTTAGCACTGGTCCGCGAGAGTGTAAACACTTTGCACACTACGCTCAATAATTTCTGAGTTGATTCTATCCATTTCAGCACGAATTCTCAGTTGTAAGTCTGCTAAATTGATTGGTCGATTGAAGCATAGCCTAGATTTTAAATAACCCCGAAGAAAACAATCTAGAGGAGTCAAGTCGGGGGAACGCGGGGGCCACTCAAGAGATCCTCTCCGCCCTATCCATCTTTCAGGAAATGTATCATCAAGATATTGCCAAAGTGAGGTGGAACTCCATCTTGTTGAAACCAAATATATTCGTAGGGTATATCGCCCTCTGTAGCGTTAGGGAAAAGAATTGCTCAGCCGGCACCAACTCAAAACGCAGAAAATCTAAATATCTAGCAGCAGTGAGGTTTTCTTCAAAAAAGTAAGGACCTACAAATCGCCTTCTTATGATTCCAACCCATACATTTATTTTGCCTTTACGCTTACTGTGGAATTTTTACGCCGAATGGGGATTGTCATTTGACCAATATCTACAATTATGGCGATGTACTGAGCCATGGAAACAGAATGTGGCCTCGTGTTGCTTAGAAAGGTTGGATTTTCATCACAGCTTAACATTAATTGTTTACAAAAGTGCAACCGGCGCGGCGGTCTGGGTCATCCTATTTTAATTCGTGCATCAGCTGGACTTTATATCCATGATGCTTTTCTATACGAAGCTACTTTACAACATATGATTGGTTCACATTATTGTTTAGGGCTAATTGTCCTGTTGACTGATAGGGATTTTCTTCAATTTCCAGCAATACATTTAACTTGGTTTCTTCATCGATTTGAGGTCGACCTTGTCGTGTCCTATCTCTATGAATGAACAAATTCGACTTATCTCAGCGTTTCTTTTAAATCACACAGTATAGAAGTTATGAATTTTGTTCCAAACTTTTCACGCTGTATATATTAAATCTATGATATTTATTTAATTTTTCCCTTGCTGGGGTCATGACCATCATATTTGTGATCAGCACCCTCACAAACTGGGGGAGTAGGAGAGATATACAGTTTATCGCTGGGGTCCGGAATTAAAAGAGGGAGTGATTTTTGGCCAATTGCGGGGGATCCGCAGGGTTAGAAATTCAGCTAACCTCAAATTCGAATTCTGTATCCTCGAAAACGGGTTTCGTAACGGCAACAAATACTTCCCTACATCCCACGTTCTTTCACGTCACTATTATTTATAAATGCATTTAAAGGGGAACATACAACCATAAGAAGAGTTTGGTTAGTTTGACCATTTCATCAAACTCTTCATGTCAAGAATTAATTTTTCTGTTTAAGTACAAGTAACGGTTAAATAATTATTAGTATTTATATTAATATGAAACATTGCATTGTACAATTCGATTCCCCTACCAAAACTAACAAAAGGAAACTCATTTTATTTGTGAAATATCATTATCATTTCTTACTATAACCGTAGATCAGCAGTAACCGTGAAACGAGCAGTGGTAAAGACATTGAAACTAGTGATGTCTGCACCACCAACTGCTGATATCTGAAATGAATGATCGGTATGTTTCTGGTTTTTGTAGTCTTGGGAAGCTGGAAATATTTGTATATATTTAATGTGTTAATGCCTAAAGCTTGAAAAGCGCCTTTTCCTTGTCGGTAGTCATCTGAATGTTGTTTTCTGCGGAGGTGAAAGTGGCGGAGTCAAAAATACCAGCAAAGAATGTCCCCCTTTAATCTAAAATCGACGGGTCTGGGCGTTTTTCTACAATCTTGACGCAGTTCCTGAAAATTGCCCTGTTTCGTTTTCATTTGGCCACCCTGTATATGACATAAACATTCCACCATCAACATTTTTATTAACTTTTTTCTGATTTTAATTAATGTAAAATTACAATAACATTTGAAATCATACCATGGCATATTTGATTTTTGGAATATTTATAATCGAAGTGCATAAAAATGTTTATTAACCCTCAATCAACAACTGTATCTCAGTCACAGTATATGAAGAAAAAACTATTCCGCCATCAGATATTGCCCTGAGATAAATTATATATAAACCTGTGGAATGTGTTTTTACTAAGCATTTGGAAATCCATGTTCCTAAGAAACTTTCTTTTTAAGATCAAGTTTCCTCTCTTCTGTTTCAGTTTGCAACAATATTTAGAAACGCCCTCTATATGGTACGAAAATACACCCTTATTTAGGTATCTCCATTTATCAAAAATGATTCGATTTATGGAAACTAAAAAAAGCTACTTTGTTTTACCTAACAGACTAATATGGATTTTAAATTGTCTAAAGAAAATAAAAAATTGAGATGAAATAGTTAAATAGTTAGTAACCAACTAAAACTACTTTAAGTCTAGGTTTAAGATAACTATAATAAGATATCTCAAAATACTTAAGATGCTATTTAATATAGGTATAGCAAAAACATAATATTTTGCATACTCTTACTTCGTTTGTAGCGCTTTTTTTTGAAAAACTACTCGTATGGTGAAATTTTACATCTTTTTATGTAAACAAGCCTTGAATCAAAATTGTAAGTGAAAAATAAAAAACATCTTGTTTGAAAAATTTCCTTGGCAGCACGCACGTACCTAATTAAAATTGGAAGTAACCATCAACCTCAAAAAATATACTTTATTGACAGTAATTCGGGTAGGTACCAAAATTCATGTCCTTGTGACTCATTTTAGAATATACAGAGTGTCCCGCATAAGAACCGACGCCGGGCAGGTGCATGTAGGGGTGTCCAAACTATTGTAATTTAACCAAACTTATCCATATACAAAGTTGCACCTCTGAGGAGTTATTAGCCCCCAAAGTGGGGCCCTAAATTTCGAAAAAAATTTATAGCTCTGCAACACTTTACCGCAGAAGAACCAAATTTGGTACATGATTTAGGTTTCTTACTGGTCTTCTTTGACTATGATTTAAAGTTAATTGAAGCACTACAAGGTGTTCATTAGGGATGATTCACCCCTAAAATTGTACCGAACTTTTTTTTCATTGACCGAATTGAAAAATAGTAATATTAATTCACAGCAGAATTTAATTTTAATTTTTTTACTCTTTATGGGTTTCAAGAAAAACCGTATTAACTGACACAAGATTTTAACATTGCATGTTCATTAGATAATAATAAAAAATCAGTAGTATGCTTTATCTTTCAAATTTGACAATTGGCCAAATAAATTTTACTTCACTTCTCTCCTAATTCTACAAAAAGAAAACAAGTACGTAGGTAGTTTTTAAATAAGCGAATATTGTATTAAGTAAAAAAACACAAATAAATAATAAAAATAGTAATTGATATTTTTTCTACAACAATCAGAGGCAATCGTTTAAATAAAATAATTTTATTACTAACTGACGTTTGAAAGATAAATTATTATTGTTATTATTACTACTGACTTTTTACAGTGTTAAAATCTTGTTTTGGCTAATAGGGTTTTTCTTGAAAACCATAGTTTTTTTAAATTTAACAAGAGTAAAAAAATTTTGAAAATTAAATTCTGCTATGAATTAATAATACTATTTTTCAATTCAGTCAATGAAAAAAAAGTTCGGTACAATTTTAGGGGTGAGTCATCTCCAATGAACACCTTGTAGTACTTCAATTAACTTTAAATCATAGTCAAAGAAGACCAGTAATAAATATAAATCATGTACCAAATTTGGTTCTTCTGCGGTAAAGTGTTGCCAAAGATATTAAATTTTTTCGAAATTTAGGGCCCCACTTTGGGGGCTAATAACTCCTTAGGGGTGCAACTTTGTAAATAGGTAAGTTTGGTTCACTTACAATATTTTTTACACCCCTACATGCACCTTGCCCTGTGTTGGTTCTTATGCGGGACACCCTGTACATTTATAATTATTTTTATGTGTTCATGTATAGAATCACTCCTACAATTATAACAAATGAACTTTCCGACGCTCTGTATAATTATATGAATTTTGTGCATAAACATTACTGAACGTATGAAGAAAACAGGTATTTAGGGAATATTATTACTTAGATCACTTAGCGACTACGTTCAGTGTACTTTTTTTTTAATATCCCACATATTGTATGTACACGAATCTAAAGAAAATACATATCTACAAATATTACGAAAGATTACGTAATGAATATCCTATGAGAGTTACATTTAATTTGTTTGTAATTAGAAGTTATATGAATAAACTTAGAATAATAATTATGCACGTATGCTCTTGTGAATATTAAACATATATATCTATCAATTAGTTCACCTTCTGAACTTTTCATTGACCCTTTGTAGGTTTACAAATTGCCTTATATGTTTAAATGAATAATTCAGTTAACACAAAAATGCCTCAACAGGAAAGTAAACTTTGATAAGGTTACTTCCTGTTTTGTATTTTTAAAACTATAATTCCTACTTTGTATTGTACATTTGTATAAAATAATCGTTTTCAATCAGTTAATTTAAATAGATATAT